TTTCGAGCCTGAGACCTGAAAAACAGGCTCAGGGCTTAACAGGTTAATGGACAGATGGTTTCAGTAGCTGAAAATAAGCCTTATGCAGTGTTATTAAAAGATCTTAAAACCTCATCTTGTAACTTACATAAAGGACGGTGAATTGTTCTTTTGTGTTTTTTGTTGAAGAATAAGGTGATCACTTAGTGTTAGTGGTGTCTTTTTAATCTGGCATGTTTCTATAAAGGGTTTGGTTCTTTCAGTGGAAGAGGGAAAAGAGCAATGTGGCCTTTTAACAGAATATGTACGAACATGACTGCACTTTAACCTAAGGGCATGCAAGAAATACCTGGCTGGATTAAAAGAAGGTAGGTTGTGATTACATTTCAAAGTACAAGTCGTAGGGCCAGGGGCACCGCTTGCCAACAGGCAAGGCAGGCAACTGCTTGGGGCCCCGGACCAGAAGGGGCCCCCAAAGAAGGTCGATGAAAGTGGTCCACAGCAACGACAACATGAAACCCCCTTTAATTTCTTGCCATGTATAAAACACTGCAATGACATGTCGGGAAACCCCCTTACTGGGGCCCCATGCTAGTAGCGCACCGTCAAAAGCTTCCTCATTCTCACTTTTATGACAGAATGAGGAAGCTGTGGGGTTCCTCGAGGCTCCATATTGGGGCCTCTTCTCTTTAACATCTACATGCTACCACTGGCTCAGATAATGAAAAACAACAAAATAAGTTGCCATAGCTATGCGGATGACACCCACATTTACATAACCATTACACCAGGAGACTATGCTCCAATTCAAACACTGAGTAAGTGCATTGAACAAATCAATGACTGGATGTGTCAGAACTTTCTCCAATTAAACAAAGATCAAACTGAGGTAATGGTTTTTGGAGCCAAGGCAGAACGTATAAAAGTTAGCGCTGAGCTTCAGTCTGCAATGTTCAAAACAACAGATAAAGCCAGAAATCTAGGTGTAGTCATGGACTCTGACCTGAGTTTCAACAGTCACATTAAAACAATTACTAAATCAGCCTACTATCGCCTAAAGAACATATCTAGGATTAAAAGACTAATGTCACAGCAGGATTTGGAAAAACTTGTCCATGCTTTTATCTTCAGTAGACTGGACTACTGAAATGGTGTTTTCACAGGTCTCACTAAAAAATCTATTAGAAAGCTGCAGCTGATTCAGAACGCTGCTGCTCAAGTCCTCACTAACACTAAGAAAGTGGATCACATCACTCCTGTTCTGAAGTCCTTACACTGTCTTCCTGTGTGTCAAAGAATAGATTTCAAAATATTGTTGCTGGTTTATAAAGCATTGAATGATTTAGGCCCAAAATACATGTCTGACCTACTGCTAAATTATGAACCATCCAGATATCTCAGGTCTTCAGGGACTGGTCAGCTTTCTGTCCCCAGAGTCACAACTAAACATGGAGAAGCAGCGTTCAGTTATTATGCTCCAAATATCTGGAACAAACTCCCAGAAACCTGCAGGTCCGCTGCAACTCTGACTACTTTTAAATCCAGGCTGAAGACTTATCTTTTTGCCGCTGCTTTTAAATGAAACTGAGCAGTTGTGTTTCGTTTTTGGTTAACCTGTTAAGCCCTGAGCCTGTTTTTCAGGTCTCAGGCTCGAAAATGACATTCCCAGAACAAATGACCATATCTTCCCTTCTAAAAGGGTTAAATAAATAATCTTTTTTCTCAAAGTAATGATAAACCTGTGAGTTGGATGTAGAAAAGTCAAAATCAATATAGATTTTTTTTATTTTAAAGAAAATTCAGATTTTACATAGACTAAAAGCTTTAGGAATCCAAAATACAACATATAATAAGTACCCTGTATCAAGATTGATGCAAAACAAGTAACATTTGACCTTTTTAGAGAGGTTTAGCCAAAAACACTCCACCTCTGAGGTGATTTGGGTGTAAATGTTTTTTTTTTTCATATCTCTGGAACCCATTGGTCGATTTTGATGGTTGACACCTCTTTCTGACCGTTAGAGCCAATAGAATTGAAGGGGGAGTCCCCCACACACACTCATTGTGAAACAAAAAGGTGGGGGCTTTGCGCATGTAATTTTGCATTAGAGTGAAGCTACATTCTAGCTCTGACATCTAGAAACGGAATAGCATGGATTATCCGTTTTATTGATCATGGATTATCAGAAATCATTTCAAAGGGACACAGACACATTGGATGAACCTATGGATTAACTTCAGCAGCGTTTTTTATCGTTTTAATGCCATTGAAGACCACTTTGGAGAGACTACAGAGCCAAGGTAACCTTGTGAGCATTTTTAGCTACCTAGCGTCACCTGTTTTGATGTCTGTTTTTGTTTATAACGTCGCAAATCCGTATAATTCAGTGATAATGAGGGTACCCATCGATTCTGTGTCACCTCACGATGTCATGGATGTAGAGAAATGATAAATAATAAGGTTTTGTGAGTGATTTTCGGTGCAGTAATCTGTTAGCATTTTTCACTCGTTGCTAATTCAGAGGCTCAGTGTTAGTATTGTGGGTTTTCTTTTGAAAAAAAAAAAAAAGATCAGTTAGATGAGTTTCTTCCCGTTACATGGATATAAAACATTCATAGTTTATTAAATGAACATGCCCTCAGACACTGTTTCCTGCAAGATGTTGCGGCAGTGCCCCGGTACCGGGGTCTCTCGGGCTTAACAGGTTAATGAACATTTGGGGCTAGTAACCCCAGGGAATCAGTGACTGGGGACTTTGTCCTGGCTGATTTTCTCTGTGTATGCTGCTCGGGACATATGTGCCATACAAGCGTACACAGCTCATGTTCGGAGAAACCTTAAAGAAAGGCATCAGTAAAGTGGAACTTCTGTGTGAACTATTCATATCTTAAACTGCACTGTATTTTTTCTTTTAATGTTTATTTTATTATCTTTGCTTTTTAATGACTGTTTTTAAATGCCTTTTTCTGAATGTCTTTCATTTTTGTAAAGCACCTTGAATTGCCTTGTGTTGAAAGGTGCTATATAAATAAACTTGCCTTGCCTTGCCTTGCCTTACATACAGAATTGCCCAAATCAGAATCTTATGATACACTGATTTATAGTTAGTGATGCATTAATGTATGCAACGATTTAAAGTTGCCTCAAGCTTATTTTTATGACTTTTTGTTTGTCTTTATTGGCATAATTATAGTTATATCACATTTCTTTGTTATATTTTGTATCACTAATCTGATTCTGCAAATTAACTAAAGCTGCCAAATCCATTTGACAGCCACAGGGTAAATGTTGACTTATTTACATGAAGGGTTGTGTTGATAAAGTTATGTAACCATCTCGGAGTTCAAGATGAGTAATCAAATGTATTTTCATGCTTTATAGGAGGAGATAAGTGGGACTGATTATTACACGGAAATACTGAAAAAACTATTTTAACACATATTTAGCATGTCTCCGAGTCAAATGAACAATTAACAGAGGTTTAAATACTAAAAAGATATATTATTTTCATTACACGGTGTGATTAAGGGCTTGTTTCTTTGTACTAAATTTGTGTGCAATGAAGTGTTAGTGCAGTTTGCTGCAATTAGACGTTGTGTGTTTATTATGCATATTGGAAAGTAAATATATAAATATAGCATTGTATTATTATTACACTAGTAGAACACACCTCTTTTTGTTTGAATGTTGGTGATCTTTTTAGATGTTGGTGATCTTTTTAGATGTTGGTGTTCTTTTTGGATGTTGGTGATCTTTTTGGATGTTGGTGATCTTTTTGGATGTTGGTGATCTTTTTGGACGTTGGTGATCTTTTTAGATGTTGGTGATCTTTTTAGATGTTGGTGATCTTTTTAGATGTTGGTGATCTTTTTGGATGTTGGTGATCTTTTTGGACGTTGGTGATCTTTTTGGACATTGGTGATCTTTTTAGACGTTGGTGTTCTTTTTAGATGTTGGTGATCCTTTTAGATGTTGGTGATCTTTTTGGACGTTGGTGATCTTTTTGGACGTTGGTGATCTTTTTGGATGTTGGTGATCTTTTTGGACGTTGGTGATCTTTTTGGACGTTGGTGATCTTTTTAGATGTTGGTGTTCTTTTTAGATGTTGGTGATCTTTTTAGATCTTGGTGATCTTTTTGGACGTTGGTGATCTTTTTAGATGTTGGTGATCTTTTTGGACGTTGGTGATCTTTTTGGACGTTGGTGATCTTTTTATACATTGGGGATCTATTTGGATTTTGGTAATCCTTTTCGGATGTTAGTGAACTTTTTGGATGTTGGGGATTTTTTTGTATGGTGGTGATATTTCTTGCCACGGAGTCCTGCCGGACACTTTCCAAAATAATTGCCTGGACACCACCCTCACCTCACCGTCTTGCAGGCCTGCCACCTACGGGAAGAACCAATGTGTTCAGTTGCGCTGCCAGAAAGGTGGCACTGAAGGTAGAGGGTCTCAATTGACCAGACCCTGGCAGCAGAAGTGACTTCATTGGACTTTAGTGCGTTTTATATTTTATAGGAAATATTTTATAATGTTTCAGCTGTTAATACTCATGCATAAACCTTTCAGCAGCATGTGGACTAACAGTCTTTAATGAACAGATGGTTTCAGTAGCTGAAAATAAGCCTTATGCAGTCTTATTAAAATATTTTAAAACCTCATCTTGTAACTTGCATAAAGGACGGTGAATTGTTCTTTCGTGTTTTTTGTTGAAGAATAAGGTGATCACTTAGTGGTGTCTTGTTAATCTGGCATGTTTCTATAAAGGGTTTGGTTTTGTCAGTGGAAGAGGGAAAAGAGCAATGTGGCCTTTTAACAGAATATGTACGAACATGACTGCACTTTAACCTAAGGGCATGCAACAAATACCTGGCTGGATTCCAACAAAGTAGGTTGTGATTACATTTCAAAGTACAAGTCGTAGGGCGTTAGCTTTTATGAGAGAATGAGGAAGCTGGTCTGTGACAGTTGAACAAAAATGCTCCACTCACTGCATGACTCACCTGAGACAAACAAGGATTAACAGCAGTGTCATTCGGAGACAAAGACAGAGAGATTTACCTTTGTTGCAAACTTCAGTTCATGAGGGGAAAACTGGACTACTAAGACTTCACACTGAATGTAAGTGTATTACTACTAAAGAGAAAACAATACTTGGGAGAAAACTGCCAGATTTACAGTGTTTGAACTGTGCTTTGTGCCTGCCTCATTTTCAGCATTTTGCAAAAACAATGGCGTCCATATCAGAGGAGGATCTCTCCTGTCCGGTCTGTCATGACGTCTTTAAAGATCCAGTTGTCCTGACATGTAGCCACAGCTTCTGTAAAGCCTGTTTGAAGAACTGGTGGGATGTGAATCAAGCACAAAAGTGTCCAGTTTGCATGAGGAGGTCATCAAGGAGTGATCCTCCTCGTAACCTGGTGTTAAAGAACCTGTGTGAGACGTTCTTAGTGAAGAGAGATCAGAAAGTTTTAGCCGGGTCTCACTGCAGTCTGCACTTTGAGAAACTCAGACTCTTCTGTCTGGACCATCAGCAGCCAGTGTGTCTCGTCTGCAGAGATTCAAGAACACACACCAACCACAGATTCAGACCCATTGAGGAAATTGCAAAGGATCTCAAAGAGGAGGTTAAAAAATCTCTGCATCCCTTTCAGGAGAAACTGAAGCTCTTTGAAGAAGTTAAAGTGGAGTTTGATCAAACAGCAGGACACCTGAAGGTCCAGGCCCGATGCACAGAGACGCAGATTAAGGAGCAGTTTAAGAAGCTTCACCAGTTTCTAGAAGAGGAAGAGGAGGCCAGGATGGCTGCACTGAGGGAGGAAGAGGAGGAGAAGAGGAGGATGGTGGAGGAGAAGATGGAGGCTGTGAGCAGAGAGATAGCAGCTCTTTCACTCACAGTCAGAGCCACAGAGGAGGAGCTGAGAGCTGAAGACGTCTCCTTCCTGCTCAACTACAAGGCTGCAGTGGAGAGGCTGCAGCGCCCCCTGCTGGAGGATCCACAGCTGCCCTCAGGAGCTCTGATAGACCAGGCCAAACACCTGGGCAACCTCAGCTTCAACATCTGGAGCAAGATGAAGGACATGGTGTCCTACTCTCCTCTCATCCTGGACCCAAACACTGCTCATCCGGACCTCATCCTGTCTGAAGATCTTACCAGTTTGAGACGAGGAGTGGAACAGGAACTTCCTGATAACCCAGAGAGGTTTGATAATTACGGCTTTGTCCTGAGCTCTGAGGGCTTTAACTCAGGGACTCACAGCTGGGATGTCCAGGTTGGAGACAGCAACGACTGGATACTGGGTGTGTTAGCAGAGTCTGTCCAGAGGAAGGGAGAAATCGAGTCTGGATTATGGAGAATAGGTTTAAATGGAGGTAATTATTTAACAGGGTCACCATCAGATCCATACATTGTTCTCCGCCAGCAGAAGAAGCTCGAGAGTGTGAGATTGAATCTGGACTGGAGCAGAGGAAAGTTGTCGTTCTCTGATCCTGACACTAACACACACATACACACCTTCACACACACTTTCACTGAGAGGATGTTTCCATTCATTAGCAATGGAGATAAATTCCCAATTAAGATTTTACCAGAGGTGGATAAGGTTGACGACAATGAGGTGGATGGCGAAGAGGAAGGCAATTATAGCGAGGATGTGGACAACGAGGGTGATGAGGACATTTGCTACCATTTTGACAAGAGATTTAATTACAAGTAAATGTCCTGCTTTCAAATTCTAAGCTAAGTGAAAAAGTACCAGCATCAAAATTACTTAAAAGTCACCTATTGTGCAAAAATCCACTTTTACAGGTCTTTTAAACATTACTATGTGTCCCCTCTGTGTTAAGAGACAGTGAAAGTCTCAGGAACAAAGAACCCCGCTCTTTTTGTCCTGATCCATCTTTATAAAAACCTGTCCCCTTGCAGTTTGCCTACAGAGCAAACAGGTCCACAGACGACACCATAGCCCTCACCCTCCACACTGCCCTCTCACACCTGGACCAGAGGAACACATATGTGAGAATGCTGTTCATAGATTACAGTTCAGCATTCAATACCATTGTGCCCTCCAAGCTGGTCATCAAGCTCAGAGAGCTCGGGCTCAACAACGCCCTCTGTGACTGGATCCTGAACTTCCTGACGGGCAGACCCCAGGCAGTGCGGGTGGGAAACATCACATCCTCTACCCTGATCCTCAACACCGGAGCCCCTCAAAGCTACGTGCTCAGCCCTCTCCTCTACTCCTTGTTCACACACGACTGCGTGGCCACACACAGCTCCAACAGCATCGTGAAGTTTGCTGACGACACGACCGTCATCGGTCAGATCGAGACGAGGTAGAAATCTGACATCTTGGTGCCAGGATAACAACCTCCATCTCAACGTCAGCAAAACCAAGGAGCTGATTGTGGATTACAGGAAGCAGCAGAGAGAGGGTCACGCCCCCATCGCCATCAATGGGACTACGGTGGAGAGAGTCAGCAGCTTCAGGTTCCTCGGTGTCCACATCACTGAGGACCTGACATGGTCTCTTCACACCACCACCATCACCAAGAAAGCTCGACAGCGGCTCTTCTTCCTCCGCAGGCTGAGGAGGTACAACATGGACTCCAGGATACTCTGCAACTTCTACAGGTGCACCATAGAGAGTATCCTGACTGGCTGCATCACAGCCTGGTACGGCAGCTGCACCGCCCTCAATCATAAGGCTTTACAGAGGGTGGTGAAAACTGCAGAGAACATCACCAGGACGGAGCTGCCATCCATGGAGGACCTTTACTCCCAGCGGCTCAGGAAGAAATCCCTCAGGATTATAAAAGACCCCCATCACCCCAGCCACAAACTGTTCTGTCTGCTGCCGTCTGGCCGGCGATACCGCAGCATCAGGACTAAAACCATCAGACTCAGGGACAATTTCATCCCACAGGCCATAAGACTATTAACCTGTTAAGCCCTGAGCCTATTTTTCAGGTCTCAGGCTCGAAAATGACATTCCCAGAACAAATGACCATATCTTCCCTTCTAAAAGGGTTAAATTAATAATCTTTTTTCTCAAAGTAATGATAAACCTGTGAGTTGGATGTAGAAAAGTCAGAATCAATATAGATGTTTTTTATTTTAAAGAAAATTCAGATTTTACAGAGTAAAAAACTGTAAATGATAGTGTCCGTCCAAATCTTCTTTTTTACTTATAGTGAAAACTACCCTTGGATGATGGTAAGGTAGACTAAAAGCTTTAGGAATCCAAAGTACAACATATAATAAGTACCCTGTATCAAGATTGATGCAAAACAAGTGACATTTGACCTTTTTAGAGAGGTTTAGCAAAATAAACTCCACCTCTGAGGTGATTTGGGTGGAAATGGGGGTTTTACCGTTTCTCTGGAACCCATTGGTCGATTTTGACGAATGAAATCTCTTTCTGACCGTTAGAGCCAATAGAATTGAAGGGGAATCTCCCCTCTCACACACATGGTACAAAAAAAAGGTGGGGGCTTCGCGCATGCAGTTTTGCATCAGAGCGAACCTATACTCTAGCTCTGACATCTGGAAACGGAAAAGCAGGTTTATTGCTCATGGATTATCAGAAATCATTTCAAAGGGACACAGACACATTGGATTAATCTATGGATTAACTTCAGCAGCGATTTTATTGTTTTAATGCCATTGAAGACCACTTTTGACCAGACTACGCCATGTTAGCGTTTTTAGCTACCTAGCGCCACACGTTTTGATGTCTGTTTTTGTTTATAAAGTCACAAGTTCGTATCATTGAGTGATAATGTATGTACCCATCGATTCTGTGTCACCTCACGGTGTGAAACGATGTGTTGGATGTGGTGAAAAGATAAATAATAAGGTTTTGTGAGTGATTTTCGGTGCAGTAATCTGTTAGCATTTTTCGCTCGTTGCTAATTCAGAGGCTCAGCGTTAGCATTGTGGGGTTTTTTTTTGAAAAAAAAAAAAAAAAGGATCAGTTAGATGAGTTTCTTCCTGTTACATGGATATAAAACATTCATAGTTTATTAAATGAACATGCCCTCAGACACTGTTTCCTGCAAGATGTTGCGGGAGTGCCCCGGTACCGGGGTCTCTCGGGCTTAACAGGTTAATAGGGGACCTTTAAAGTTCCAAAAGTTAATGTAAGCTACATACAGAATATTTTGTTTGTTGCATGATTATAGTTATACCATATTTCTTTGTTTTGTATCACTAATCTGATTCTGCAAATTAACTAAAGCTGCCAAATCCATGTTGACTTATTTACATGAAGGGTTGTGTTGATAAAGTTATGTAACCGTCTCCGAGTTGAAGATGAGTCATCAAATGTATTTTCATGCTCTATAGGAAGAAAGAAGTGGGACTGATTTGAACACATATTCAGTACCCGAGTCAAATTAACAATTAACAGAGGTTTAAAAATGTAAAATATATATTATTTTCTTTACACTGTGTGATTAAGGTTTCTTTGACTGAATGTGTGCAATGAAGTGTAAGTGCAGTTTGCTGCAGTTAGAGGTGTTGTGTATATTATGCAGAAGTTTAAAGAGGCCCTATTCTGCTTTTTGAGGTTTTCTGTAGTGTGTTATAAAGGTTTCAGTGCACGTAAATGGTTCGCAAAAGCTAAAATCCCTTCGTTCCCTCCAGAGGGAGTTTCTCTCCCACACACTCTGTTTTTAATTCTTATAACCTTTTGTTTTGAACATTCAAATCTGTGACCTGCTAATTGTACTCCTTTTGAATAGCTTTATCTGTAGACCAACAAAGAGTACATTAAAGATTGAAATAATGTGAAGACTTGACAATCATTTTAACTTGTAAACAGTTTAAAGACTGCTAATGAAGGCTGTTTAATAGCATCACAAACACATGTATTGAGTTAAACTTCCTTACGTAATAAATCGTTGTAAAACATTAATTTACCCTATTTTTCTTGCTATGGTAATAGTAACAGATATTTTAGTATTTATTAGCAGTTGACTATGGTTTTTGCAGGTATCACATTTAAAATGACAAACTATGTCTTATTAACCTTAAAAACCTTTTATTTTCCTCTTTTTAACTATGCTTTTTTAAGGATTAATGACAAACAAGGATCATTACATTAAAGCAATAAAACCCTAACATTTGTCAGCATTTTAAGACTCCCTGTCCCCTGGTCTGGAGGTCGGTGGATGTTGGTTGTTATCCTGAAATAAGGTCTGTAGTTTACACAAGCTGAAAAGATTTTTGTTCTACAATATAAAATATGTCAGTAAATACCCCATTGGTGAATTTCAAAATGGCGCTTGCTAACAAGTGTCTAAATCAGGGGTCTCCCACCTTTCTTCATCTGAGAGCTACTTTGAAAAAATGAAAGTGGCTAAGAGCTACTTGCATCATATCGCTTACATTTATTCACATAGCACTCATCGGTTGAATTAAGCTACTTTTGTACACGTGTGTAATTGCAATACCCAAAGCTTATCAAAAATCTTAACTTCACATCAAAGTCTAAGAAAAAAACAATTTGTCACATATTGTTATGGCCCTCATAGTACGTACATCACTGAACATTCACATACATGTCCAAGAGAAAAATAAAATATTTTCACTTCTTATTATGGCCCACATAGTAAATACATCGCCTTAATCACCACCTTACAAGCATCTTATGGCACATGTGTAAATTAGTGGCATTCACTCTTTTTTACAGTTAGTGAGATGACTGGTACTGCATGGAGTCCACCATAGAGTGTATGCTGGAGTGTACCCACTTTGGTTCACTCTAATGGAGCTCAGCGCAAGTTCAACCAGGAAGACCGTCTCTACTCATTCATGTATTTCTATTCCCATGTTATTACTCTCTCTCCTCTCAATAAGTGACCGGGGGCGTCACTCTTCAGCTTAACCAATCACTTCGCTCTATTCCCAAGAGCCTGTCATAGCGCTCTGTCAAACCTTTTAAATCTGCTCTCCTCTCTGACAGCTCTCATTCCAGGTGAATCGGCGCAACCCTCCTCCACCCCCTTTTCACCTCCTGTCCCTCTGAATCCAGGGTCAAGCTAAACCACTCCTCTTCAGACCGACCCAACTATCCATTCACCACCACCAGTGTCTAGACCCCAGGGGGGTTTCATCGGATCGGTTCTACCTTCCCGAATGATACTTCCTGCACAACGGGGCCTAATCGCCAAAATTACCATTGCATTCATTTGTGCATCTGCGCAATAAATATATATTATTACATCAAAACCGTCTCTCCTGATTGAAATAGAGTCATTTAAATGTTCATCAGTCAGTCTTGTTCTGTATTTAGATTTCATGACATTCATGTCAGAAAAAGCTGCTTCACAAAGCAGAACCAAATAAAGCAGACATTTTCAGTGCTGCTTGGTGAATGTTCTTATAGTTTTCTGGGTCTACAAGGCTCCAGAAATGTTGTGAGTTTTGCCGAGACTTAAGCTGAACATGATTTTGGAGATTTATAACCTCCATCTCCATCTCCACAGGATTGACGTGTGTGGTTCTCCTTCCCTCCTGTTTTTCTCTCTTCTCCCTGTCTTCTCTGCAGCTAATCAGCGGCTGGGCGGCTGTGGCTCAGTGGGGGGCGGCTGTGGCTCAGTGAATAGAGTGCTGGACTTCGAATCAGGGGATAGCAAGTTTGAGTCCTACTGCAATCAGCATGTCGTTGTGTCCCTGGGCACACACTTCACCCCAAATTGCTCCTGTGGGGATTGCCCACAGTACTGAATGTATGTAAATCGCTTTGGATAAAAGCGTCTAACAAATGACATGTAATGTAATGTAATTAGTACCTGCCTGTGCACCTGAGTCTGATGGCTCGCCAGAACCTGTCAACCTCTTAAGCCCTGAGCCTGTTTTTCAGGTCTCAGGCTCGAAAATGACATTCCCAGTACAAATGACCATATCTTCCCTTCTAAAAGGGTTAAATTAATAATCTTTATTCTC